CAAGTGAGCCAGGTGGAAAAAAGTAAAACAGCCTTTTAAAGTTCCCTCAACCTCATTGGTAATTCTTCATCTTTTTTATAGAAACTATTGTGGTTTAACTATCTAGTGGTTCTAATGCTGGGCTTGTTAATGATATGAACCCATCACCCAATCAAAGATGAAAGGGGAATTTCTCTTTACTTTGTGTTGAAAGCGTAAGGGATCCACTCAAACACCGGTTAGCAGTAACAAATTACATACTTAACCCCTTCATGACTGAGCTAGTTTTCAGTTTCTGTTCATAAATGACTGACATTTTTGCTGTGTGATTCTTTCATAGCAGTAATATACGTTCTTACTAAATGTACCCACACATATTATATATTGTTTTTTAGAGGACAGAAAGGGCTATATAATGATATCACAAATGTGTACCTTAGTTTATATCAAGCAGTCACTATGACTGCTTAATAAATTAACATTTTCATTTTCAATTTCAAATTTTAATTTTTGGCAATAAGGCTGCTCCAAACTTAGGAACAGCTAATAATAACCTTAGAGACTGATCCTGACTTTAGTCAGATTGAGATCTCACTAAAAGCTCTTTGATCGTGCCTAGACGATCAGAACTGATACATTTCACTCAAAATATATACATTGTATCTTTTTAGTGAAATGTATCTAAACATCGGGCTCTCGAGCTGTCAAAACAAATAGCAGATAGGTGAGTCACTGCTACCTCTCTGATTTTTTCAGCTGTCAAATACAGGATCGCAAATTGCAGTCCTGTATTTGCATGTAACAGCCTAATTCTTTCATTACTGAAAGGAAGAAGCTTTTACAAAAAGCTTAATTATTTCATTAATGAATGCCTCAATACTGAGGCATTTATTAATGTCTGGTAACTGCTGAGAATCAGCTGTTACCAGCATTACAAAGCCTGATATAACTTGTCACGTTCAGTCTACATGGCCAGTCATATAGGCACAAAGTGCCGGGACGTACACTGTACATCTCCCGTCACAAAGGGGTTAAAGAGCAACTGAACTCAGAAGGCTGTGCACCAAAAAGGCAAGCAAAATTAACAGTATAGAAATGCAAATCAAATCAATATTGGGTGTGACCACCCTTTGCCTTCAAAACAGCATCAATTCTGCTAGGTACACTTGCACACAGTTTTTGAAGGAACTCACCAGGTAGGTTGTTCCAAACATCTCGGAGAACTAACCACAGATCTTCTGCAGAGTAGGGAAGAGTTGGGTTCTTCTGTCAAAACAAGGTATGCCGAGACGACATGATGAGTGAAAGTTTTCCTTCAGTCAATATTAACATGGAGGTCAATTGTAGATAAAATAAGTTTTTTTTACAGCAACCTCAATTTAACTAAAATTATTCCACTCATACCTAAATGGGAGCTTTCACATGGGGCAAAGAAAAAGTCCTCATCCTTATGTAAACTTCATGTTGGTAATAAAGCAACCTGTTCTTTGCTCACACGTCTTTAGAAAGTGGGTTCTCTCCATAGATATAATCTCTAGGCCATGCCTCATGGGATTTGTAGTTCTACCACAGCTGGAGGGCCGGAGTTTGGCTACCCCTGCTCTAGGCAGATATAATCTGGACCCTCCCTTGACAACAATGAAATGTGCTTCACTAATTATTTATGGAAAAAGATATGAGAGGGCAGATTTCTGTAAAAGAGACATTGTTACCTTGAAATGCACTGATATATAGCATCAGGTAAATGATGAAACAAAAAGATTTGTTTTTCTAAAATGCATGAAATATTAAACAATGATTTTAAAATGGGTAAAAAGCTGACAATATATGTCTTCTTCCCAGGCTCTGCTGCTGAAATCTTTAACATAATATTGTAATATCAAATCATTATAAAACATTAATGGTGTGCAAACATCAGAAAGGCAGAATAATAAATGGTTAGTGTTACTTTAGCAAATGGAAGATGGGGAATAATTTAATTTAATAGACTTGACAAGGTAAAAATGCAGGGTATTTTTCTCAATCCTTAAATATGCAGCATAATATATGAGTCGGTTTCCTAAAATATGTATTTTTCATGCAGAGAAAAATTGTCAATCTTACTGCTATTCTTCTTAAGTCATGCTGAAATATGCAATGGCATATTTAATTAAATCATGTCTGCTATTGCTTTAAAAGACAGAAAACAGTAATACCATACAAGCAGCCAAGTATTAAAAGGTATAAAAAGAAGTTCATATGAACAACACTTCACAAAAAGTAAAATATTAGTGCTACTGTGTGTGTGTGCGCGTGTGTATGTACATATA